AAAAAGCCAGAAGTGGCGCTGTGGCTCAAGTGGTAGAGTGCTAGCCTTGAGCTGAAGAGCTGAGGGACAGTGCCCAGGCCCAGAGTTCGGGCCCCACGACCGGACCCAAAAAAAAAAAAAGAATTCACTGTTGTAAGTATAACCTTTTCATTGATATCGGAGTCTAACCAGGGATATTATGTTAGCAGGGAGTTGTATATCCTTAATAATTTTAAGAAATTTGTTTTCTTTGTATGCATTAGGCCTCAGGAAAGGAGAACTGGATATGAACAGTTTCACACAGGCCCATCCCCGGTGGATCACGAGTCATTGGAATCCAAGCGACCACGTCTGGATCAGGTTTCTGATTCCCATTTTCAGCGTGTCAGTGCTGCTGTTTTACCTTTAGTACACACACTGCCAGAAGGGTTGAGGTCTTCTGCAGATACTAAGAAGGTAAATATTTGTTTTGTTGCCCTGTGGAACTATAGATCTGAAATGTTTGTTTAGCCATATTCAGGCACAGCCCTAAAAGAAAATTCACTTAGGCCAGTCTCTAAAGGTTGATGCTAGGGAAAAGTAGAAGTTTCATTAGACAAAGCTAAACCATAGACTTATGTTCTAAGTTTTTGTTTTTTTTTTTTTGCTGGTCATGGGGCCTGAACTCTGGGCCTGGGCACTGTCCCTCAGCTCTTCAGCTCAAGGTGAGCCGTTCTACTACTTGAGCCACAGCACCACTTCTGCTTTTTCTGCTTATGTGGTGCTGAGGAATCGAACCCAAGGCCTCATGCATGCAAGGCAAGCACTCTACCATTGGGCCACCTTCCCAGCCCTATTTCTGAATTTTTAAAGTTTCAGCAAGTACTTTTATTTCCTGCTCCTCATGGAGGAAATGGGAAGTGAAGAATCCCTATTTCCTAAGACATAGTTTTATTGAAAGTCCCTTCTTTTTTTTTCTTCTTTTCTTTTGGTCAGTCCTGGGCCCTGAACTCTGGGCCTGGGTCTGTCCCTTAGCTCTTCAGCTCAAGGCTACTGCTCTATCATTTGAGCCACAGTGCCACTTCCAGCTTTTTTTGCTTATGTGGTGCTGTGGAATTGAACCTAGGGCCTCACGCATACAAGCAAACGCTCTACCACTGAAACACCTCCCAACCCCCCTTATCATTCTTTTCACTTCTTTTTTTTTGTCGGTCATGGGGCTTGAACTCTGGGCCTGAGCCCTGACCCTCAGCTCTTCAGCTCAAGGATAGCACTCTACAACTTGAGCCATAGCACCACTTCCAGTTTTCTGAGTGGTTTATTGAAGATAAGAGTCTCACCACCTTTCCTCAGATCTCAGCCTCCTGAGTAGTTAGGATTACAGGTGTGAGCCACTGGTGCCTGGCTCATTCTTTTTACTTCTGAGTCATCAATATTCATTTCTTCACTTTGATCTTTTTAATTTATTTGAATAGGGAACAATTTTGTAATATTAAACCTTCTTTTCTCCCTCTCCTCCCCCCACTTTCTCTCTCCTCTCTCCCCTCTTTCCTCTCTCCTGGAATTTCTTATTAATGCTTACTAATTGGAGAACTTAAATGGGATGGTGGCAAGTGTTTTTTTTTTAGAAATTCCCATCATATCACCCTAATTCCTCAGCAGCTGTTAGAAGGGCATGTATGGTGTCCTGTTTTCCAAAGTAGTGAGCCAAGCCCTTAGTTCATGTGTCTGGTTGATATAGTAGGCCAGGCTTCTTAATAAAGGCTCTTAAAACCACAACCAAGTTTTCTCCTCCTTTGCTCTACTTCCCAGCTTCTTCACACTGTGGAAGAGTATATAGAAAGCCATACCCTACTATTCTTAACTCAGAGCAGGCAAATGGGAATGATCAAAAGCCCACTTGGGGTATTCTAAATATACCAAAGAAAATCTAAATAGGGAGTGCTTCCACATTGTCCTTGAGGAAGATAGTAACAGCATGAATAGGAAAAGACAAAGAAGATAGCTAACCCCTACTGTTGTTTTTCTTAGTATTTGAATTTGAACTCAGGGCCTCACATCCAAATGTGAGGCAGGTATTGTATCCCTGAGGTAAGCCTCCAGGCCTTTTTTGCAGTAGTTATTTTGAAATATGGTGTCACCTTTTTTCTTTTTGCCCAGGTGTGCACTTAGAGTGTGATCCAACTTTTATACTTTTTGTTGAAGCTATTATGTCTAGTGTATACCACCATAATCTACCTTACTCCATTGAGGAGTCTCATGAACATTTTTTTCTAAAGCTGTAGTGCTGTGCCTACTTTTTGATTGAGAAGGGCTGGTCACATATGCCCTGCCAAATGTAGTGTTTTTCCTTTTTGGTGGTACTAGGATTGAATGCAGAACTTTGCTTGCTAAGTTGGTGCTCTGCCGCCTGAGCTATGTGTCCAGACCATTTTTACTTTTTTTTTTTTTTTTTGGGTCTGGACAGCCTGGGCGCTGTCCCTCAGCTCTTCAGCTCAAGGCTAGCGCTCTACCACTTGAGCCACAGCACCACTTCTGGCTTTTTTCTTTTTGCTTATGTGGTGCTGAGGAATCGAACCCAGGGTCTCAGGCATGCAAGGCAAGCACTCTACCACTGAGCCAACTTCCCAGCCCCACTTTTTTTTTTTTTTTGAGGTGGTGTCTCATGCCTAGGCTATCCTAGGCTGTGATCCTCCTACTTGTGTTTCCTCCATAGCATAGGACAACAGGCAGGCCCATCTGTTATGCTCATCCATTAGTTGGGATGGAGTCTCATGAAATTTTTTTTTTTCTGGTTCTGGAGCTCCTTTTTCTCAACGCTTACACTCTACCACTTGAGCCACAGCGCCACTTCAGGCTTTTTCTGTGATTAATTGAAGATAAGAGTCTCACTGACATAATTTCCCAGCCTGGCTTCGAGCCTTGATCCTCAGATCTCAGCCTCCTGAATAGCTAGAATTACAGGCGTGAGCCACTAGAACCCAGCTTCTCATGAACTTTTATGTCTTGGTTGACCTCAAACCAGGATTCCTAGTTTCAGTCACCCAAGATAAAGTTATAGGATTGAGACGTGGTGCCTAGCTTAGATGCAAATTTTTGATAGATTATCTCTGATGAATAATGGAATTCCATACAACTTTGTGGTAGAAATTTCTATGATTTCTGCTATTTCTGTGAAAAGTCAACAATGGGATTTTGGTCAGGTCATCTGACTATATAGTTTTGTTATTTCTGCAATAGTAGATCTTTCTTCGGAGCCAGTGGCTCATACCTATAATCTTAGCTACTCAGGAGGTTGAGATCTGATAATTGTGGTTCAAAGACAGGCCAGGCAGGAAATTCCATGAAACTCTTACCTCCAAAAAACGACTCAGAATAAAATAGAAGTGGAGCTGTGGCTCAAGTGGTAGCACACTAGCCTTGACAAAAGGAGCTTAGGGACAGCACCCAGACCCAGAGTTCAAGGTCCAGGACTGGCAGATACATACATACATACATACATACATACATACATACATAACCAGGCACTGGTGGCACATGCCTGTAATTGTAGCTACTCAGGAGGCTGAGATCTGAGGACCAAGGTTCAAAGCAAGCCTGGGCAAAAAAGTCTCACAAACTTTTTTTTGTCATTTGTGGGGCTCGAACTCTGGGACACTGTCCCTCTTAGCTCTTCAGCTCAAGGCTAGTGCTATACCACTTGAGCTACAGCACCACTTCCAGTTTTCTAGTTGTTTATTGGTGATAAGAGTCTCACGGACTTTCCTGCCTGGGCTGGCTTTGAACAGTGATCCTCAGATCTTAGCCTCCTGAGTAGCTAGGATTACAGGCATGATCCACAGTGCCCAGTGAGACTCCTTTTATTTTTTTTGTCAGTTGTGGGGCTTGAATGCTGGGTCTGGGAGCTGTCCCTGAGCTCTTCAGCTCAAGGCTAGTGCTCTACCACTTGAGCAATAGTAGCATTTCTGGCTTTCTAGTGGTTAATTGGCAAGTCTCACAGACTTTCCTGCTGAGGCTGACTTTGAACCAGGATCCTCAGATCTCAGCTTCTTGAGGAGCTAGGATTACAGGCTTTAGCCACTGGCGCCTGGCTTTGTGAAATTTATCAACAATTGATCACAGAAAAAGCATGAAGTAAAGCTGTGGCTCTAGTGATAGTGTTAACCTTGAACAAAAGGATCTCAGGGACAGTGCCCAAGCCCTGAGTTCAAGCCCTAGAACCCGAAAAAACAAAAAACAAAACAAAAAAAACCCCAAATTAGATTTTTTAATTCAGAAACATGAGGTCTTTTTTTGTTTACTTGTCTTTTTTAAGCAATGTTTGTGGTGTGTGTGTGTGTGTGTGTGTGTGTGTGTGTGTGTTAAGGACATAATCCCCTTCTGTTATTTTTTTTATGAGAATTTCTGTTGTTATAAGTAGAATTTTTGTTGTCTTTTTTGGTCGGTCTTGGGCCTTGAACTCTAGGCCTGATTGCTGTCACTAATCTCCTTTTGATCAAGGCTAGTGTTTCTACCACTTGAGCTACCGCATCACTTTCCACTCTTTCTGTGATTAGTTGGAGTTAAGAATCTGACACTTTCGGGGCTGGAAGGTGGCTCAATGGTAGAGCGCTTGCCTTGCATGCCTGAGGCCCAGCACCACATAAGCAAAAAGAAAAAAGCCGGAAGTCGCACTGTGGCTCAAGCGGTGGAGCGCTAGCCTTGTGCTGAAGAGCTGAGGGACAGTGCCCAGGCCCAGAGTTCAGGACCCATGACTGGACCCCCCCCCCAAAAAAAAAAAAAAAAGAATCTGACACTTACCTGCTTAAGTTGGCTTCAAACAATCATCCTCAGATCTCAGCATGAGCCACTAGCACATGGCTGTTTTTATTTTATTTTCAAATTGTTTAATGCTGGCATAGACAACACAGGTAGGATTGAGATTGACTTTTGTATTTTGTAACTTTGCTACATTTATTAACACTTTTAACAGTTTTTTTAAAATGACTTCCTTATGGTGCTCTCTCTCTCTCTCTCTCTCTCTATCTATCTATTAGGTCATAACCTTGGTTATAGCCGAGGCCTGTGTGCCTAGGCTACTGTGATATGCCTGTTTTATGCTTTCCATTGTAGGTGGGATGACAGGTGCTCTTACTATTTCCAGAATAAGGTTTCTGTTGCAGTGACAAAATACCCAAGATAGTTTAAGAGAAGAAAGATTTATTTTGGCTCTTGGTTTCAGAAGTTTCATTCCATGGTTAGTTGTCTTCACTGTTTCCACTGTGACAGTGGTTTGGTGGAACATTATAGTAGAGATTGTGTGATAGAGGAAAGATGCTCACCTATGGTAGCCAGGAAGCAAAAAAATAGATAAGAAGGGTCCAATGTCTTCATATCCCTGTTGTGAACATTCATTCACTGACCTGACTTCCATTAGGCCTTAACCTCCCAGTAGTACTATGAGCTGTGGACTAAACCTTCAACAAAGGAACCTTTGG